TGAGCCGATGCATGTGATGGAGTTTTCTATTATTTTGTGATTGGTATGAAATTGTTTATGTTTGAGATAATTGTTGAAATGTTGTAGCATAAAGTGCTAAGACTAGCTGATAAATGCTGTGAAATAATCTATTAAAATGCTTACTATATGGCTATGTTGCATTTCTATGAAATGTCATCACACTAGGGCCAAGTCACATATTTAAAGGAGTGTAGGCATGTAGCGATTAGGAAACATGCCAAGCTGAGGGTATAGGCATGTAATGATGGGAAACATGCCGAGCTTAGTTACACTTTATCTATATACAGTACTGGGATAGGTTGCTTACAGACCAGTAGATTGTAGGTTCCTTCTGGATTACTAAGACTGTGAAACCATTGGAACTGAGCTGTCCTATTTTGCATAAAATGGGTTGATAATGGTCTGTATTGCTGCATTATGTGTTGAAAACTATTGAAATGATAATCTGTATAAATATTTATGTTCGTATTCTGTTATTTATGATCGTGATTGTTGTTTCGTAAGCTCACCCTTGCATATTGTTTGTGTTGGTGTGTGTGTTGCAATGATTGTATGGTGGTACATGAGTAAAAGGTGACAAGTGCTGTAGCTACTTCTCATGTTGGAAGATCTAGTTAAGAAATGTCAGAGTCAACATGCTTTTGAAAAAATTGTAGCTTTAATTATTTTGTTAGTCTAGGTTTTAGTGATAAGTTTAAACTATTTAGTTATAGTTTTAAAAAAATGTAATTGTTGTTTATAAATTTGTATTTTGAGCTCCATGTGAAGCATCTGTTGCAAATACACATGCTTATATTTTTTGAGTTGTATGAAAATGCCTTTGGAGCTCTGTTATAATCGTTGAAATGTTGAAGTTTAATTTTTGAAAGGAATTTTTCTTGTACTATATATATATACTGGGAGCAGTGATGTATAATGTCATTGATCATTTATGAAAAGGGGTTATAACATTTATTATGCAAAATATTCTAAAATCATGTAAGAGAATAACCAATTCAATATAGCTCTAAGTTTAAAAGTAAAATCTATACAATTCACAGGAAAATTTGAATTAGATTTATGAGAACAAGTTTACATTAGTTTAAATCTAGAATTTGTTTCTAAACAACCTCCAACTTCAACTTCGAATAGAAAATAAGCAAAAAATATAGAGAAAAAAATAAAACTAGAATGAAATCCTACACTTACAACTAAAACCAAAAATTTTGATAAATAATCAAAAGATCCCTAACTTTTACAACACTCAGATAGTTATAGAATTCTGCAGAGTGAAAGATAGGTCACTACAATGCTAGTGCCTTACCTTTATCTGATATTTTAAAAAATTCCAAGAACAATTAGATGGCATGGTATTAGTTCTTTATTGACGTGTAGAAAGAAAGGATATTAGGAAATAGAAGTCCGAACTCATGTCATGCAGTACTTAAGGGATTCATGTATAAGAAAATGAGGACATCCTAGTTTGAATGTCTTGACTCACCCATGATTTTGCTTCTTTGAATCTTTGAAAGTGAGGAAATTATAAATTGAATATCTTATTTTATTACTTTTTAATTCACTTAAAACTTTTTTGCTTTCTTCTTTTGCATTCTATATCTTCCTATTTGTTCCTTATGAGATTTGTTTTTAAGAATGCACCAAAATTCCTGAGTTTCAAGTAAAGAAATTACATTTAAATGAATTTTCTTCCCTTTCCTTATTTTTGCATAATCAAGCAATTAACTATTATTTTTATGCATTTTTATTCCTTTCATTATCATTTATTGCATAATTAACTATATAAATTCACTTAAAATGTGGATTTATCAATAATTACTTTTAAACATTGATAGTTAAGTAAATTTAAAAATTTATGAATATTTATTTTAATAAAATTTTAATTTTCAAAATTTAGCATTTTGTGTTTCTTTTTTAAGTGTTTTTTTAATTATAATAGATAGGGCTTAAAGTCAAAACAAATAAAAAATACTTAATCAGCTTTGGAAATCAAATGTCGCGTGCATTTTCCCTTAACAAAGAAACTAAGGAGAGAAAAGTTGAATGAAAAAAAAACCTTTATCTTATGATTTTTCATGAGACTTATTACCTAACCAAATAATGTATTTATTGGTTTCTCTTAAAATATTGTAAGTTTAATGGATTTGTATTAGTGAATAAAATAAAGCTTGACAAGTACACCGATTGTTTTAGCAAGTAAAGTAAAGATCGAGAATTTATGTTATTAATTCAATAATATACATAGAAACTAGTAAACATAAATTTTAAAAACATGTTTATGGAATTTTGTACTAAAATTTGTATAGCAAAAATTTAGAATGACGAAGGTTATGGTAAAAGTAAAAATGCAATGTACAAATACAAATAAGAGAAAAAAAAAGGTTGTTAGAGAAAGTTCAATAATGTATATTTGAAATAAAATTAGAATGGTAAAAGAAGATGTTGAATTTTAAAAATAAAGAATTAAATTGAAATTTTCAAAAATAGATCGATTAGGATAATATTACGAATTTTAGTACTCTTAAGAAGATTTCAATCAACTGATAAATATATCCTTCAATTATAATAAAAATGAGTGTTTTTAGATTGTTTTAATATCATTTTAAGAGAAATTATATCATTTACTACTGTTGTTACTTAAATGTTAAGTAAATTTAACGATTAAGAATATTTAAATTGAAATAAAATCTAAAATTAAAAGGCTCAAATCTAATAAAGCATTAGGTTAAGGTTAACAAACCTATATTTCATACAATAAATTGTAATCAACTTCATACTTAAATCTAAGATTTTTTTTCTTTATACAATTTTATCATTGATTCAAAACTCATTCATTTATTTGTAAACACATTTAAATCTGTCAACCTAATTAAACAATTGTCAAGCATAAAAACTAAACGTCTTTATAGTTTGATATATTTCACAAAGCAATGCTCTTTTCATGTAACCAATACGATTAAAACAAACTGATTTATAATATTTTTATAATTATCAGTTATTTATACAATTGATCTAAAAGTACACAATATTGTATTGTGTAGAGAATCATCAATAGAAGTTCAAAAGGATATGAAAATAATCCTTATACCGTATAAATAATTACTATAATAATATACCATACTTTCCATCTCCAAATACTTTAAATTTACATAAATGATGGACATTCAACTTATAAGGTAAAGAGAAAAATGATTTAATAGCTTAAATAAATAAAAAAATTAATGTATAGCAACAATAATTGTAAGAGGTTTAGAAATTTTGCTTTGTAAAATGTTAAGGATAAACTCAAATAAGAAAATTTTGTGCACTTATTCTTACCATGCTTTTACTCCGAGATATTAAAGTATCTTTCTTAACTCTTAGTTTGACTATTTTATGTCTTATGTAAAGTTAAACTACCGGACATGCAAATTATGAAGGTATGTTATCATAGTATTTGCTTACAAAACACAAGAATCATCATATTCTTTTAAAATTTTGTTAGTAACAGAAACTTGTGAATACTTAATTTTTGTCTATATTTTTTTTATATTTTTTTAATCTTATTGTCCGAACTTGTTCTAATAAAAAGAGAGTAGAAATAAAAAAAAATGTAAAAATTGATCTTAACAAAAGGAGAAAAACAAATCTGACTTCCGATATGTGAAATTAAACGTTGCTAGAAACAAGAAGCAGGTACAAAACCTTATACAAGAAAATGGAAATGAGATTAAAAAAACAAATTGGATTCTTTAGAGGAACCGAACACAAAAAAGAAAGAAAGAAAAAAAGAATTGGAAGACAATTGGATCAAGAAATATAAAGCAAAGGAACAAAAGCACAACTCAAAGCAACTCATGGAACCTTCATACGTATACACACCAGACATGAGCCAACTTCAACACAAATGTGGGTGAAACGGCAACCTCCATGCCCAGCCTCATTCTTCACTTCAACTGGAACTCACATACGCATTGCTGGAGCTCGCGAGCCATGACCTAGTCCAGATCTCGCCGGAGCTGCAATCCCACGACCACCTCAACCTTATCCACCGCTAATCATCGACCCATCCTCCTGAAATCGTTTTTTCAATTTCGTTTTGTGAATAAAAGTTTCGGTACTTTCCTTTTGAACTTTATTTAGATTATTGTTGTTTTAATATTCAAAGAAAATGATTGGTGATAGACCGACGTGAACATAAACACTATGAAATATAGAACAAATTGAATGAATTTCGAAAGTTGGTCAATTTTCATCTAGGCGCGCAATGTGAGCCTTTCTTGTCCATTGTACTTAAAAGAATAAATGGGTTAAATCTTGGATTAGGGATTCTTAGCCCATTTGGGCAGCAAAGTCGGAAGGAATTTACGGAAAAAAAAAGGAAATTCTAGGTCATTATTCATCATAGCTTAGTGAAGTGAAAGAATAAAAATATAAGTTAAGTGGAATTAGGCCTTCTCTCACCATACCATGGTAAGGGGTTCCAAGCATCAAAAGTTTGAGATCATATCTCCATTTGAACACTCTTTTTGCCTTGTTTTTTCATCTCAAGCATTGAACAAGAGAGGTAATATAATCACAAGAAAGTTGATCAAATTGTGAATCATCCAGCTAATTTTTAATTCATGAATTATAAATAGAAATGTAAGATTCAGAGACGCAGTAAAAAATAGTTTAAAGTGTACCACACAAATGATGTATAGTGTTCAATGTAATAATTTTAAAGTAGAAAATGACCATAAGTCTCACTACACAAAACCATTAGTCATAAGTGAAGCCTTTATTACAGAAGGCTGAAAATAGAACAATGGATTAGCCAAATATAGTGCATAAAATGAGTGTGAAGTCTGTTTTAGAAGAATGTAAATAGGGATTTTGAATAACTAAATAGGGTGAGTTACTAGTGCTCTTTTAGTTCCTATTCACTTAACAATTATAACATTATGTAAATTTTCAATTTCTTTGATAGGAAATGATGAAAGAAAAGTACCCAAAAAACAATAGTAACGAATTGTTGACAAGTGATTCATTTCAGTGATACAATCATTTACAATTCATCATCATATGATACAAACCATTGGGTAGTCAAATCATATCAAATTGTATTATTCAAATAGCAAATCATAAAATTATAATAACTAACTATGATCACAAGCACTTAGACATCTTCCGTTTCTCTTATCTCAACCTTTACAGGCTAAAACATCACTGAGACTTTCTGCTAATCTTAAAAGCATACAAGCGTCTATCGTGGTGATGTCACAAAACCTTCAAACATGAAAATGTGATATACTTTTATGAAAAAAATTCATCTTTTAAAAGTGAAACTGCACTTGTAGTTTCTAGAGCCATTTTCTAAGTTAACAACATCAAAATTAAGGCTAGAATTAAGTTACAAGAAACTTCACCATGCATGCTTTCTCTTCCTTGAACCCTTGCCACCAGAGAAAAATCCTGTGGTGTATTGTGAATTGACAAGCTCCCGAGGTACAGCTGCTCCAGCAGATTTTAGAACATCAACTAACTCTGCAAAAACATTCTTATTCTCCTCATTCACAAATACTATGGCTTGACCTTCCTCACCCATTCTAGACGCCCTTCCAATCTGATGTACATACTCCTTAATGGAATTTGGAATGTCAAATACAATTACCTGTCTTACACCCAATAGATCAACACCCCTACCCAAAACTCCAGTAGCCACAACCACTGGAACCTCACCCACCAAAAAGGACTGCATTATATCTCTCCTTTCCTTCATAGATTTCTCCCCATGAATTGAACCAGCTTTAATTCCTGTGGAAACTGTAATTGCATTTGCCAGGAGATCTGCCCCAAGTCTGGAGCCCACATATATAACAGCAGGTGGCTTAAAATGTTTCTTACTCACCAAAATGTCAAATAGTTTCTGTTTCTTTTTCTTTGACTCAACCCAAATAGCTAGCTGCTTCACAGCCTTATTTGGTCTATTAGGCTCTCCAACAGATATAACCACTGTACCTTTTGCCAGAGAGTAAACCATCTTCTCTATATCATTAGACATTGTTGCAGAATACATCAAGACCTGAGGTTGTGAAAGAGCCCTATATATCTGGAAGACCTGATCTCTAAAACCCCTTTGCAGCATGCAGTCAACCTCATCCACAACGAAAGCCATCACATCATCTAAGTCAATCTCATGCTTCATTAAAAGATCAACAAGCCTTCCTGGGGTTCCCACGATCAATTCCACACCTTGTTGAATGCGGTAGAGTTGTCCAGCCATGGCCTCGCCACCAACCACAAGTGCAGTTTTAAAAGGCAACCCCTTTCCAAGCAATTTAGCATGATCTTCAACCTGTATACAGAGCTCTCTGGTAGGTGTTAACACCATAGCTAAAGGCTTCTTATCTGAAACAAACTGCCGACGATAACTCACACAACGAGAAATTATCGGAATAAGAAATGAAGCAGACTTCCCAGATCCTGTATCAGCCAAAACAAGCATGTTTTTTCTCATCAAAGCAGCAGGGATTGCTTGCATCTGGACAGGTGTAGGCATGTCATATCCTGCAGCTTCTATATTGTGGAGGAGCTTGTCAGGAAGTTTACAGGATGCGAATGACAACACTGGCGCTACAACATCACCCTTCACATGAATGTCAAGCTTCTTTCTAAGCAATTCAGCCTCATCACTAGCCACAGACGGAGTTCCTGATTCGTAATCAGTATCTCTAACATAAAGGCACTCATCAGCTCCAGGAATCTTTTTAGGCAGTGGAAGACCTCCAGCAGGAGCCAAGGATTTGGCAACTCTACAAAGTAGTGCTTGTTTGCATTCCAAACTGCAAACGTCATCATCAGTTTCATCACATATATACTCACCATAGCGGCCACAGATAATGCACTTAGGCTCACCTGGCAGAGCCTCTCTTTGGGCCCTAGAACTCAACTTCACATCATTTCCTGGGTCTAAAATTACAAACAGAAAAACGAACTCAATTGGGTTGGTGTATTCTGAATTCCAAAATCAAGCTGCTTGATAATGCAACATGTTTTATAAAGGCATAAAAAAATTTTTAAAAATGACTTCAAAATTAAAATATCTTAATATTACTCACTTTACGGATTACCATTAACAACAAAAGCATTTATAGCACGTAAATCAAATTTCAGGTGAAGAAATTTAGAAGCATTACCATTAAGTGTATTAGCATTGGTAGCGAGAGATGAAATATTTGATGGTTCATTGTAATTGGTATCAGAATCAGCCATATTTCTTCCTGGAGAAGAAGGTCCTGTTAATCTACGCTAGGGTTCCGAAAAAATAGAGAGCTGCATGCAATGCTTTCAATTTTTCAAAGGTCAAAGGTGGAATTGAATCTGAAATTGAAGTTGAGTTCTGAATGTTTCAGCATGCAGGAATTACAGTGCTGAATTTTTGTTTCGATTTGCTGTTTCATTCTGCAAAAGTTGCGTTTCGTGCTTTTGGGAGGTTACTATACCCCCTTTCCCCGAAAAGACGAAGGAAAGATATTCGTATCCGACGATAATTCACAAAAGGATAAAATATGATTTTGTTCTTAACAAAATTAACGATAATTAATTAATTTAGTCTTCATAATTTTCTTAGGTTATATTAGTTTGTTGGTCTTTTTAATTTTTTAAAATTTTTAAGTATTCATAATTTAAAAACTTTTAATTTAATATTTATAATTTTTAAATTAAGTCTCTAATAATTAACATGAAATATATTTATTAAATATTAATTACGTAATATTTTAACTTTTATAATCCATTTTATATAATTCTCTTTCATAAGAATTTTTTTAAAATCTCTCAATCATATTATTCTCGAGTAAAATATTTGATAGTAAATTATTGTCGAAACACTTTAAAACGCATGTAGTTAAAGATAAATTTATAGAAAGTTTTTTAAATTTTTTTCCTAATTTGTAATAATAAAAATTTATTCTAAAAACTTTAATTTATGGCTGATTAGATTTTAAATTTAAATTTTTTTTATTGAAGTAATTTTTAATATTTTTTAAAGTGTTAGAAGTGATTCCAAAAAATTTTAGAATATAAATATTTTTTCTTAATTTTGTTTAAGTTAAGTAATATTTAATATAATTATATTTATTAGATTCGAACTAATCAATTTATTTTTCTTTTTAAAATTTTACTATTTCTAAGTTAATTACTATTTATGAATTATATTATTTAAATAAAATAAATTAGATCATAAAACATAGTTAGCAAAATTTATCTAAAAAAGAGGTGAATTAAAAAAAAATGAGTAACGTAATTATAAAGTAACTCAATTTTAATAGAGATAATTATCTACAATTTTTTAAAATAATTTTATTCTATTTAAATTATGAATTACAAAATTTTAAATTAATTGAGAGAAAATAAAAGTAAAAAATTAAAAATAAGTTATAAAATTGGTTAAAAAGATCAAAATACTTCTAGAATAAGCTTAGAATGATAACCTAAATTGAAAAAGAAAATAATCATAAAAAGTTTTGAAATTTTTATGTCGAACTATTAGATCAAATGAGGTTATATTCATTCAAGAACTATGTCCAAATCGCAAATAAAAATTCAAACCAATTTTTACAAATTCAGTACTCAGTGTGGGTGAAAGGGCTAAGTAAATGGGGCAAAACTTCTAATTTTATGATTCTATCTCATTCAACCCAATTGGCACAATTTTAACATAAAAAAAGGACTCAATTTGTCAAAAATTGAGAAAGGAATAAGCTAAAATAAATTAAGCCAATGAGAAAGAAGGATTGATTTACTCAAACTCCTTGAAAATAATTTAGAGTCAGTAGTTCAGTCCTTAAGTAAGGAGTCTAACCAAATGTTAACTAAACTTAACCAACAAATAGTATTATGTGAGAAAAAATCTGGAATGAGTAACCAAGAACTAAAGGCAAACTAAGAAGGTACACTTAGACAAACTAAATGACATCATAAAGGTCTAAAATATCCACTTTGAGCATGATTATTCAGGGACTACTTTTCACCATGATAAAATCTGAATTTGGGAAGGCTTCAACAGCAAAGTTACTCCAATTAAACACCTCTACGTGATGGTAAACTTACTACCCCATAAAAGCCAAGAAAAAAAATTGAAACAACATTCCCCAAAGACAAGGCTAATTTCACGTGTAAAATAGAGCAAACTTGAAAACTTAGCCAAAATTCCTATATCTAGCCAAATCAAGCTATTTTAAACACTTGACCACATCCAACAAATACAAAAAATAAACCCCATCACTCAACCATGTCACTCTCCAAGCTAACAAAGTAGGAAAAACTCCAAAAACACGAATAATCACACCCACCAAATTAAGCAAAAGAACTCCAATATTTGAGAATCTTTTTGAGCACACTCAAAGCTAACTTGGAAGAGAAGTAAAGAGACTCACACCAGACCAAAAAAAAGAGGAGGAAGAGGAGATCAACACACCCTTGTAACCCCACCAAAAAAGACAAGACAAAATCAAGTAAGGAATGGGTGTATAGTTCATAAATTGGAGAAATATTTTTGCTAATTAATTTTGAGTCAATGGAACCCCTTAATCCTTTATATTAAATGAAAATTTTGTGGGTCTCATTGGTATATGAAAATTAAATTGATTGGAATAAGAATATCCATCAAAATCATTAAAAATGGCAAAAACAAAAAATTATGCAAAAAATCTTAACAAACTGTAAATGAGTGTTTTGAAGAGATTTTATTGATGGATTTTCTTGCTATTATTATTATTATTATTATTATTATTATTTTATGATATTATGATGATTATATGTGAATCCATGTGTTGAAATTGTTTAAATATTCTTTTAAAATTTTCTGCAAAATCAGGCATTTTTTATCATAAATATTTACTATTTTTGTAAATATCCTTTTTGACACATGATCTGAGTTCTAGTCTTTTATTTGACCTTTATATGACATAAAAACACCAATATTAATTAATAATTTGTGATTGAACTTTGGTAGAGCATAAAAAGAAATTTTCATAAATTTTTAAGAGGATTTATGGTTGTAATATAGTTATAACTGATTTTCTGTTGTTTTTAATTTTAGAAAATTCTAAAATTCACAAAATTTTTCCTAAGATATCAACACATGTTATTTTATTATTCTGAAGCTTTTGGATTTATTTTGAATTTATAGGATATTTTAAATGTGTTTTTAAAGATTTTGGGTAAAAGAGTTAAAGAAAAATGATCTAAAAATGAAAAATAATTAAGAAATAAATTTTAGACTCATAGACATTTTTGGAACCTCTAGAGTATGAGAAGCATATGAAATTAACTAAGTTATTGAATTAAATTTAAAAGATTGAACTTTTAAATAAGAAAATACAATGATTGAACCATAAATAGACTTTAAAAAAATTTAAAATAATTAATCACATGAGTGGTAGGACCAAAGGAATAGTTTTGATCATATTGAGACTTGAACAATAACTTAGAGCAACCTGAATACATCAAGTTTTGGTAAAAGGACTTATTTGCAATTAATATAAAGTAAAAGGACTAAATTGTAAATAATATAAAATATGAGACAACCTTTGCCAAAAAAGAATTAGTATTTTATTCATGTATACAGTTAAACTGTGAAAATATTTCACTAGTTTTACTTTATTTGGATTTAAACTGAATTACTTATGATTTTCTAAGTTTTTGCTACATGAAAATAATATTCTGGGAGGAGTATGCCTTGATTCAATTTAGTTTTAATATGTGTGTAGCATTATTTTATCTTTATTTTTATATGAAAATAAACTTCTTAATAGGAATTCTCTCATTGGTTTCGCTTGATTTAGATTTGAAACAAAATATATATGAATTTCTAAATATTATGATGTGTGTAAATGATTTTCTAAGAACAGCTCCTTTAAATTTTTTGTCTTAAAATTTATGCATGATGTTATTTTATTTATATTTTTATATAAAATTTTACTTCATAAGGAAGCTATGCTCACTTAGTTTGCTCAAATCAGAGTTAAAATAAAATACTTATAAAATTTCCAATATCTATTGCTGAATTATGCTAACTTGTGACATGTACTAATAAATTAAAGCATGAATTGATCTCTATAAACCATTTGATTTTGAAACTATTTTTACTTAAGACTAGACATACTTAAAGAATAACCTCACGTGTTTTGGATGAAAATTAAATTTATTACAATTTTTACAATTTACTGAGTTATGAAAATGGCATCATATGAAAAGTAGAAAGAAACTAGGGTAAGTGTTACTTTTTGTGTATGAATTATTTGTGTGTATTTTTTTTTGAAAATTATATACTTAAAGAAGGAAAACCTCATTAATTTCATGATTTTTAAAATATAATGATTTAGTTACAAATTTTTCATCATTCTGGTGCTCAAAATGTTATTTTAGGGACAAGACAGGAAAACTAAGTTTCAAAGGGCACTTTGTAACTGAATGATTTATGATTGTATTTTTACATGAAATAGACATGTAAATAAAAAAAACAAAAGTGATTTTATAATTTTTAGATTTGTATTGAATTAGTTATGAATTTTGCAAGATAGTACATGAAATATAAATTTTTTTTGAAAATAGCCATGTCTATAAAATGAATGATTATCTTGTTTTGAGGGATGAATGATTATGATAGATATGTATCCAATAGACAAATTAATGGCTGGAATTTATATTGTGATTAGGAAATAATTCATAAGGATAGTGGTTTAAAATATCAGGTACAGACGGGAGGCAAATAATGTTGGTTTTACCATAGGAAATAGCAAAATACTCAAGTCCTAGCAAGAGACAAAACCTACCTAATTTGTGTCGCAAGCAGTGAAAAATATGTTAAACTATCTTGACAGGCATTGAAGCATACCAAGATGGGTTAGAGTGTGAACCGCTAGGAGTGAAAATAATAGATTTTGAGCACTGTTACTCAATTCCCTATTTGAGATGTTATATCTATAGCACTATTTGGATTGCAGGTACATGACTCCTAATCTTCAACCTAAAAATTAAATGAATGATTAATTACTCTTTGAAAAAAAGAATAATACAGATAAAATACTCTAAGATGCTTGTTTATGAATGATTTACTCACCCTTTCTTTGTTTGTGTCTATTAACTATGTTATGGATGTAGAATAAGTGCTGGAAATATTCCCATTCTTGAGCAGAACATGTGTAATGCCCCAAATTTTAGTAATATAAATTATCGATGTTTATATGTGTGAGAATGAGTATGAATGTACATTCAAGTGCGTAATAATGATGTTTATGTGTATTAAGTATATGGATGTGTGTATTTATGTGTGCATGACTGGTTTGGGCAGGAAATAGGCTAAGTGCTGGTGCAGGACATTCTCGCTGCAGCGAGAGATGCAGAGGACCCTGGGTGGAAGGCATGTGTCTGTCGCCTTATCGCTGTAGCGAGAATATCTCATTGTAGCGACAGAGCGACAGTTTGGGGTGCATTTCTGGGTGCAGTCTCGCTGTAACAAGAGGGTCTCGTTGTAGCGAGATTCT